ACGCGCTGAGCGCACGAATACAGAGACGCCAATAATGCCATATCAGAGACTCGGGTTACATTCATAAGGACCAGCTCTCGCGAACGGGGCACACAACTGCCAGTGTGTGCCACAAAGACATTGAGACACATATATAAGATGGGGTCGGCGATAACAGCATTTTATAAACACTAGTAATAAAACACTTTATAATTTAATACCTATCCCTTTAACACTATTGTAATAGTGCTTCCCACACTCCCCTTTTACATAATAAAAATAAACATGATTTTTTAAGCAGCCAACATCGTGTCTACATGTATTTATATCAAATATTTTAACATAATAGAAAAATACAGTTTCTGAAAATTAAGGATTCAAAAAGTAACGTCAGCTACAGGATTTGAACCTGTGCGGGCAACGCCCAACAGATTTCGAGTCTGTCGCCTTAACCACTCGGCCAAACTGACTATAATGTTAAACTAACAAGCGCTAGCTAAAGTGTAGTTATTGTAAGAATAATATAGCATTGAGCGATTTTGGATGTTAATTGTAAAACTTTATGCATAGCAAACAAAAAAGATAACTATTTATTTATGTTGTTTTATACAGGTGTATACAGAGAGCTTGTTTGCTAATAACTTTATTATTTAAAAAGGTTAATGTATACATGCAAATAATCTTCAATGTTGTTGGCCAGCTATTCATTGTCGGCATAGCTGGGTACCATAGATATAAGTTTTGATTTAATTACCCATGTTTGGAAATTTTAGAAACAACTTCAAATTTTGTGCAAATCATCTATCACTCATGGATATTCCAGTAAACACATTTTATTGCATACTTTGTAATAATAAACAGGGTGACTGCTGGCAGATATATAATTTAGATATATCGCGCATGGTGTTATATCTTTGTCAGCTATCAGCTGGCTAATACGCATTTGACAGAAACACTCGGATGCCTTGCCTTTCAAATGTTTCATAGTTGTGCAAGCTCACCGCCCCCTTTTTTGTATAAAGCAAACAATAATTTCCTCAGAAAAAGCCAAACACAAACATTACAATTACAATTGTATTTACTACAGCCCATTTCAACAAGCACTATCGTTTTTATCTATTTATATACACGCATACAAAACAATGTTCAACTACTTTGCCACCGTCGCTGTCTTTGTCCTGAGTGCTGTTTCGACCGTCACTGCCCACGATGCCACTGCTGCAAATGGAAACACTGTCCAGAAGCCGCATAACTTTGCCAGGAGCAACATCGAGCATGGCCATGGTGATCACCACATAGCCAAGCGCTGCGGTGGCTGGGGTGTAGGCGGCGGCTGTGGCGGCTGGGGTGGTTTCCCCTTTGCGGCCAACACTGTCAACGCATTTGACCGCAACGCATATGCTGCCAACTGCTGCGACAACACTGTCTTTACCAACAACAAAAACGCAAATGTAGTCTGCGACAACGTGAATGTTCTCAATGCGGCCAACGTTATCGCTTGATTCATTGTTGAGCAACTGGTAAAAACTCCAAGATATAAAACAGCAGCAGCAGCACTATTTGAGCCGCTATGAACGGCCAGAATTACTATATATTTTATGATTTAGCAACTTTAAACTTTTATTTACAAAAACCAATAAATTTTATTCTTGGCTGCATCAAAATTAGCAAAATAAAATGTTACATTTAATGTGTCGGTTTATGCTAATAAGTTGCAATGGCTCAAATCCAAACTGTTTAAAATCATAACGTCTATTGTGACTGTTTTATTCGCAATAACATTCCTAAAAATAACAAACAAAACGCAAACAAATGATGTTCTTTGTTTAAAAAGCTATCACAAATCTAAGCACAGATTCAATTGGCCATTTTCAGCTGTGGCTAGTATAATTTGAAAGACATAAATGTTGCCAAAATATAACTCACACACGCACTTTGGTACTAGTCTAAATATATATACATTGGTTGTGCAAAGTACGCATAAAATGGCGCTGCTGTTTGTTTCTTATACGCTTTTCATACACATGCGTTTGCAGTTTTACAATACTGTTATAGTAAGAGGGGGGTGTGAGGAGCACTAGTTGTCTAGTGTTAAAAGTTAGGGGTGATTTTATAAAAGGTTTTATTACTGATGTTTCTAAAGTACTACTAGGGGCCGGCCTCATCTTATATATGTGCCCTGTCGCCTTTCTTGTGCACATTGTCCATTGTGCGCTCCGTTGGTGAGAACTGGATCTTCTGCGAGCAGACCGGTACCTTGGCAAGTCAATGTTGTGGTTTTCGTGCGTGTATGCTTATGCGTGTGCATTACAGAATGGGGAGCATGTTTGGGCATCAATGTAATGCCTCCCTAATTTACGCCTGCGTTATCCAATTAGCGTCCTATCGATCAGCGCGCAGGTGGAAACCTGTTTCGCGATTCTCGGCCTCAACATCCACTTCCATATCTTCAGTCTGCGCAACAATACCTAGTCACTTTAATATTAATCAGTTCACCAAGCTATTTTATTTTTTGGTGCACTGGCCCGAGAACGCATATTCAAGTATTTAAATAGATTACGTACTTTTCAAACCATTGATTGTGCAAATACTATGAAATGTCTAATCTCAGGAATCAGTTTTTAAAAACGTAATAATAAAAATTTACAGTCAAATGTTTATATTCTTACACAATGTGCGTCGTGTTATTGTCTTTTGCGTAATTTGATTTATAAAGCAAAATTAGTTGAACACATGCAAATATGTTATATCTAGTTTTTAATTAGCACCAGCTAAATAGCACAACACAACTCAAATAATAAACACATGCTTGTTGTATTCACACCCAGTTATTTTATTTTAAAAATTAATATTAGCCCAGGTAAATGATTTGTTTAATATCAAGCCAATATTTCAAAAGTAAAGTAAATTCATCAAATTCTAGGATGTATCAAAATATGTAAAGTAACATGTACGATGCAACATATATTCATAGTCATATATACCTTTTTTATACAGTATCAACTACAAATAATAATATTAAATGCAATACAAATGAGTATAAATAAGACAACCAGGACTATTAGTTCAACAATTTAAACATTACACCCAGTGTTCTACACCCTCTTGCCTCATACACTTACAAACACACACACACACACACGCACATACAATTATCACTTTTAAACATGCCTAACTTTGCTGTCACTTTTATTGCTGCTCTTGCTGGCGCTGTTGTTGTTATTGCTCCTGGCGCCACTGCCAGCCCGATTCTGCCGTTTGTTGGTGCTCCCGGATTTTATGGAGCTGGCTTTGTCGGACCATTGGCCACTGGCTTTGCCACTGGTGCTGCCATTGCCGGGACTGCTGGCTTTCCGTTTGTGAACAGCGCAGCAATTGCCACCGGCGCTGCTGTTGCCGGCACCGCTGGTTTCCCGTTTATCAGACGCGATCATTCCACTGGCGAGCATCTGGCCAAGCGCTGTGGCGGCGGCTGGGGCGGTTGCGGCGGAATTGGGTGTGGCCGGGGTGGCTTCCCATTTGCAGCCAACACCGTGAATGCATTTGACCGCGACTTTTACGCTGCCAATTTCAACGACAACACGCTCTTTGTCAATAACCAAAACGCAAATGTAGTCAGCGACAACGTGCATGCACTCAATACCGCCAACGTAATTGCTTGATTTGGCCAAATTCAGGGTGCCAAGAACAAACACTGCAAAACAAGAATAACATTGGCAACAGCAGCAGCGACAGAAAACTTTAAAGACATTTGACTGAATCAGGCATTATTATTTTATTGGTTGATTTGAAATATAAGTAATCTTTTTCACACTGTTTTGTACGTGGTCAAGTGTTGCTTACAAATAAAAACTGAATTTAAATATTCAGCTCATGGTTTACGTGTCGATACGGCAAAAGAAAAAACGTAAACGTAGCTTTAATTGCTCAACAAATTAATTTGTTGCTATTATATTTCGTAATTTTACGTGGTGCCAATAATAAAAAGAGACAGAAGACGGGCAGATGAATCAAAAAGAATGTGGATGAAACACACGTACAAGCAAATTTTGCATTGCATTCAACTATGTATTATTTAAAAAAGGGTTACAAAAATTATTTGTTAGACTGCAAGAAAGAAAGAAAGAAATAAAAATTTGAATATATAAAAGCGACAATGGGCGTCTCGTATTCCAAGAAACCATTATCCTCACATCGCTGCTCATTCAGTTTACACTTGCCACTTTAGATTAAATACCAACCACATCAACAAAAAACACAATAAACATGCCTTGCTTTGTCGCTACTATCACCGTTCTTGCTGCTATTGCTGCCTTTATCGCGCCCGCTGCCAATGCCAGCCCTGTTTCTGCCGGCTATCAGCCCACCAAAAACATTTGCGACAATGGCAAATATTACAACAATGCTCGTCCTTACGGCGCAGAATACAACACCCACGCCTATCCCTACGGCGGAGCAAACAATGCGTACAGCAACTACGGTGGTGCCAATAACTATGGAAATGTTGGCAACTACGGTGGCGTTGGCACCTATGGGGGTGTTGGCAGCTACGGAAGCTACGGATCAGGCTTTCCATTTGCGCTCAGCACAGTCAACAAGCTTGACAGCGACTCGTTTGCTGCCAATTACAAGGACAACACAGTTTACGCCAACAACAAGGACGCCAGCGTAAGCAAGGACCAGGTCAGCAAGTTTGACAGCGTCAATGTCATTGCTTGATTGATTGATTGATTGGTATTTTTTGATTATCATCCATATCCCATATTCATCTTTATAGACATATACTTAGACAACTATAGATAGACGCAGAATAAATTGAATTAATAAAATTTTTTTTTTGAAAAACCAAATGAAAAAATAAGAATGGCAATAAGAAAATACGTTGATTTGCACTATTTATTATTATGATCATTACTATTATTATTTTTTATTTAAGCAGACGCCTGGACAGGGGCGGCCTGATGCTGTTTCTGTGTGACAACCAAGTCATCAACAACCGCCTGGACGCCCGCAGCCTTTGCCTCCCTAACCTGATCAACAAACTCCTTAAACAAATAAGCGGTATCCAGGGGTCCTCCCTTCGCCTCGGGGTGGAACTGAACCGACCTAAAAGGCATATCCACATGTCTAATACCCTCATTCGAGCCATCATTGGCATTGACATAGTATCTGTCCCAACCCTGGGGCATACGGGAGTCATCCAGGGCATATCCGTGGTTCTGCGAGGTAATCACGCATTTGCCATTGGTGAGGTCGACAGCGGGCTGGTTATGGCCACGGTTACCGAAACG